GCACAGATCCTGTTAAAGTGGATTCATACTATTTAAATAAGCTCCTTATTAAAATAGATTGTCTAACATTTGTTAGCAGTACCGCTTTAATTAGGTTATAAAGGGATGAGAAAGAAACGAGTGCAAGATTTTACATGATGGTATCCAAAGATCACGATAGAAATCATCCTATTTGTGTCTTTTCCAATCCTGATACAAAATGGATGATGAACTGTAGTCAATAACCCTCATACTCTTGATAGATTATAAGAGGATTAGAGTTGCCGCGACTTGAAATGCTTTATTTGAGTTTAAAGGGAGAAGAGCTCTTCAGTAACATGTCATGTGTCTGCCCAAGGGCTTTTAATGCGTTGGCTATCGTCGAAATCTACAGTATTTATTTATCTTAGGGCATTGGCATATTTACTTCATTAAAGAAAGCAAACGGCTGCAAAAATCCTCAGTGATCGTATTCTTCCTAACTCTTTGAGTTGTAAATCCATTAGATACGCTAGCATAGTAGTTTTAAAATAAAATGATGGACCAAGTCAAACGAATCCATTACGGCTACGAGTTCGATCCTTCCTTCATGGCCAAGGTAAATGGATTTAATGAACTCATTGGTTTTCTTTCCTTTCGTCCGTATTTTAATACCTACTTTACCATCTATGAACGCTATTTGAAATAAATTCTTCATTCTTAGATAGTAATTGCAGGCGAAGAGACAATAACTAGCAAATGTTCTCTGCGATATTGATTGTATAAGTGAAATAGCCTAAAACGAGTAAGAAAAAACAAAGATCAAAGTTAATTTTTCCTTATGTCAACAAATTCACTCACCAGCCAAGGATGACTAAAATTGTTTACTAGTGATCTATTCCATCTCCATCTTGACGCTATCTTATTCAAGTAGAGAAATAAAGGCAATAACCGTAACAGGCCTCTTTCAATGCCTATTCGATTCTTTCCTTATAAATATTTTAACTCGATCTATGGACAGCTATCAAAATCGATCGGTAAAACTGTAAGATCTCCATTTTTTTGAAGTTAATTAGATAGTTTTTAAGAATTTTGGACCCTATTTTAGTCACCATTTTTGCCGACATTGCCACCAGGAATAACCTGTAAAAGTAGTCTATCATTATCATCATCAGGCCTAGATTCTTATTTAGCTAATTATCAATTTATAAGATGCTGCGTAGATTGAAAATTTCCCTTCCATACCATGTATCATCAATGACTGATGAGTTAACGGCCTGGGACAAGTTTTGAGAATAGGCTATGCTAGTGTAGTAACCAAATTAAGATTATTTTACCTGCATTTTAGCAGCATGGCTTCCCCAAATTTCTAGTTTACTTCCCTTATCCGTTGTGATTAAAGATCACAACAGGTAGAAATCGGCTATATAAGCAGACCGAGACATGATATATCCATTAACCTTCATTAGATACTTAGACCCGAATTTTCCATATCATTTTAACTATCCTTTTAAATATTCTTTCTGATCCACTAGACGTGATCAAGTCCCAGCCTAATTATGATTCTTGTATAGTGTATTATTCACAGTTGAGGCTGAGATAGGAATAATCTGTAAATGAAGTTAGTCCATCATGGTCATCATCAAGACTATATCTGTATTTTACGAATTGCCAATTTATAAAATGGCTACATAGATAGACAATGTTCCTTGTATTGAATGTATCATCATGATTGATGAGCTAAGGGATAGCGATAAATTATGAGAATAGGGTACACTAGCAATCAAATCATATTATTTTACTTGTAGTTTTTCAACAAATGGCTTCCCTACTTTCTACTTTCCCTTATCCCTCTCTACCTGTAATTGATGACCAAAACAGGCAGAAATCAGCGAGGCTAACAGAGCGAGATATCGGGTGACCAATAACCCTTTGAGTTCCTACTAATTCAACTTGGAGTTATTAAAATTGAGCAAATTTCTAGCGTGTACCATGACTTTTAGTGCTACGGTACTCCATATCGCTACTACTTTGAGCTAAAATGGCTACATGGATGCTTAGGTTTCAAAACTTGGACAACGCTTTAGATATCGTTGCTAATTAATGAGGAAATTAACAGAATCACATACTTTGACAGAACACCATAATGGGAGCTCTATTTCTTTAAAGGTTTACTCAACAGGTTTAGGATTATATTCCTGAGCAAGTCTTGAACGCGATCATGCCTTAATATATTGCGCTCATTTTGCCTTGATATTCTTCCTAATAAAGAAGCTAATAGATTACATGCTTTGACAGAATATCATGATGAGTACTCTATTTCTTGGAAGGTTCATCCAATAGTTTTAAGATTGTATTCTTGAGCAAGTCTTGAACACAATCATGCCTTAAAATATTTAGTTCATTTCTGCCTTGTAGTTGATTGAACATATTCAGTGTTTTATTGCTGAAAAGGTTTCTGACAGAGTTATGCTTTGAAATCTTTCATTCATTGCTCTTAATGTAAACTGAATCCATTCAGGATTCTATTTTTTAGGAGATACTTGAATAAAAAATGGAAAATCTTTCTATTTGGTCTACGTCCATGTACTATTAGAATTGATCTTTGCTATTAACGGGGAAGGAGGATTATTCCCTTATTTTGTAAAGCAGCCTTAATCATTTCAATAACTTGTGAAGTAGACAGATAAATGTTCAATCTTCCCGTTTAATCTACGTACGTATGCTAATGGAATCAATACGTACTATTAAAAGGAATGAGGATCATTCCGATATTCGATAAAACTGCCTTAATCCTTAGCCGTTAAATTTATGCATATAGATAGATTTGTTTCAATCCCATTCAAAATGAGCCCTATCTTATGCAATAACGACGCCAATTATCTAAGGATGAAAAGAGTTACGCCACAAAGTTCTATAATGCATTCCACTGCCTTATAATTAATAGTCAATATTGACCTAATTGAAACGTGATAAATTCTCCTTCGTTCATCTCCTGCTGATCAGATAGGCCTGCCTTTCCTATCCATGAATAACTCATCATGAACGACATAACATGCTCAATTAGACTCTGCAGTGATATTTCGTACATTATACTAAATCATTGAACATCTTTCAATTAACCCTAAAGATGGATTAACTAAATAAATAACCTTCTAGAAACCCAAACTCTTTTCTTACTAAATGACATTTTATTGATAGAAGCACATTGTTTGAACTCAATCATTCCCATCGAATCCTATACAAGTGCTTTTAGGCATGGTAGAAATATCTTTATTGCTGAATAACTTTTTTTAAATCACAAAAGAAGATTCTATAGAAGTACTCTATCCACATATTATAAATATTCTATGATTTTAGTTTTATTTGGTATGGTACTCCAATTTCAATCTCATAGGAAGGAAAGCCTACCATAGAGGATGCGAATATTCCATCGTTGACTGATATTGAGTATTTCTAATTTCATTCATAAACTGCCAAACTGCCGTAGCCTCTGCTATATGCGACTTTAAGAATTTAATAGATAATTACTCCATCATACTTTATTGATATTTAACGTTTCTAATTTTATTCATCAATTTGACATATAGTGCTTAAAGATGAATCTCCTGCAATTGATAGAGAATTCCATTAAACATTATATTGCTTTACAGATGTTTAGTACTTTAATTCCATCTCTAAGCTGTCAATCAAAGTCTTAACTTCTATTCCGCACGACGGAAAGGATATTATACTGTTCGATAGATTTAGTTATAATTGGGTTTCCAAGTAGATACATAAACAGACAAATTACTCCTTAAGTTCATTCTTATACGATTGAAGCAATATACCACGCGAATATAAGTATTCCCATCACTTTGTTGATATTTGGTATTTCTAATTTAATCCCGTAAAAGTGACAATCTATGCTTACGATTAAAAGTATAGTAAAGCCAATTAGTTTGTCGATTTATAGAATTCAAGATTTTATTGCATATAATTCTCCACAGCCGGAAGCTACTGTGTAAAAATAAATCTTGACAATGCTGTATATGTATATTATATAAATATTCGATCACTTTGTTGATATTTGATATTTCTAATTTCAACCATAAAAGCGCCAATCTATACTAAATCCAACCTGACAATTAAAGAGGGCAGTAAAGCTAATTGATTTGTCCTTATGCAAAATTCAAGGTTTTAATTCATACATCTCACTACTGACAAAAACTATTACGTAAAAATAATCTTAAAATCAGAACTAAATACTAACGTAAACAAGTAGGTTAATATACCAAAATGTAACTTTTATCCATCCTCTTTACTCTATTCCTTTTACTTAATTCGAAAACTGGCTAAATCAGATCTTAGTACCTATCTACGTAGAGGTAAATTAAGTTTTAGAATAATATGACTAACTATCACTACTACACATAGATAAATAATCAAAATCAACTATCCTCTTACAATGTTGTTGGAGATTTTATGCCACCTAATCAAGTTTCATTTTTATGCTATAAGCGTATAGTTTTGATAATTAAAGAAATTAGAGTAGTATTTCCTATTGTTCAAGCTTCCTGTCATTAAACTATCAATACTATCGAATCTCAACTGATTTACTCATTGCCTATTAATGCCAATCGAGACACAAATTTACTTTGTTTTTATTTTACGTTCACTAACCAAATATCTTCTTTCTTCTTTCTATCAGTGTTAGGTTAGAATTATCTGCTACAAATCGATAATTGCAAGTACTCAATCCTACTCCCATTGGTAAGGCAGCCAAAATTGAATTTTTTTCATTATTATTGATCCAACTATACTGATCCAATCGACATTGTGGCTGAAGTCAGGTAAATAATATCGATACTTTAATACGCCTTAGTTTCGTTACATAAGGAATCTTATTTTATACCATCTCTACTACATCCTATTATTACTTCTTTTAGGAGAGAAAGCATACTAGAACTACACAATTTGGTGAATTCAAATATTTTGCGATTAATATTGCAAATAAATTTACACACATAGTGAAATAGAAGTCCAACTCACTAAATTTAGCAATGCCACGATTTGCAAAGGGCAAAGCCGTCAACGGTGGCAAATCTCAAATAAAGCAAAATAATCAGACACAAAATGCAAACCATTATAGTGATAACGGAGTAGTTAATGACAAAAATAGCGATGATATCATGGAACTTACCTATGATGTTAACTCTTTCTCCAATGCTATGACACGACTGAAAGAATCTCTAAAAAATCGCAAAAGTAAGTCTTTGATAATCTAGGATGAAGATTCAGATATCTAAGGTATCTTATAATTTGAAAATCAAATTCAGTTAATAAGACAAATGGAAAAATTAAGATACTTAAATAGATAAAAAACTAAATTCTTCAAGAAATTGAAAATCTATCATTCCTATTTTATAACCAAGATGTGATAATGGCTATCTAAAATTATACTCGTAACTATAACCAAGATAGGTTGAGCACCGTCAAAAATATACTTTTGTGATAAGATGACATACTACGACTGAATCCACAATGTAATTTATCAATCCTATTTAAAACCAAGACGTGTTAATAGCCATCTAAATTATACTTGTAATTATAGCCCAGATAGGATTGAGCACCATCAGTAAATATATTTGCAGTAAGATAAAATGCAAAAACTAAATTTAATTTCCTTCTTAACTTCTCTTCTAATATAGGCAATAATGATGATTCTATAGAAGAATGGGTAGGTGAAGTTGTTAGTATTTTAAAAAGAATTACTGAAAAAAATACGGATTTGGTATCCAATTCTGAAATAATGACATCGACTAGGACACTATTGCTTAAAGTTAACGGTAATAAAAGAATTTATTTCCATATAGAAGTACTATCAGAATAGTCCTGCTAATCATTACCACGTAAATAATTGAATTAATTAGCCAGAATTGAAAATCTTATCAACGTGTACCATTTCTATCTTCTTGCCTAGATTACAGCATCAATGAATGTACAGAAAAAGAGGTTATTGAAGCTGCAGTTCATTTAGAATTAGCTCTTACCGATGGGTAAGTACAGATTATGAATTTTTCTCTCACAAGACCAGTTACAGTTGTTTCTTCAATCCTACTCGCTTTAATGTAGGCATTCTAATTTAGATTTAAAAATAATCAATATAAAATTTAAACGCATTTCGTAAGACTGTTTAGAGAAACCTTCCCTACTTTATTCTGCTTTAGTATTAACAAATATATTTATTGATTTAGATATAAAAATCAATAAAATTTCGATTTCGCAATTTAGAGAATCTCTTTACCTTTTTTCATTTCTAGCGTTGCCAAATCGGTTAAAGTCTACTTTAGATCTAAATCAGTAAAAGTTAAATATTTTTCATATGGCGATTTAGAGAAATTTTTTCTCTATTAATAAAAATACTAAGGACTAAATTAGATTTCACTCCTTAAAATATATTCGTATACGTAATAACATAGGACCATTTCGAGAAACTCTGAAACTCTTCTCTCACTAATGAATACTTCCTTTTAATTTTATCAATATCACAATTCTAGTTTAGATGCAAATCAGTAAATTTAGATGCATTTTGCTAGATAGTTTCAGTATTTTCTTCGTCTTTTATTATTGTTCAGCATCACCAATACCGTTCCTCTGCTTTAGACTTTAATTGCTAAAATTTTCTTAACAATCTACCATCTAATTCTTCTTTGGCATTAGTATATAAATCGTGTCTGGCGCAAATTGTCAAGCTTAACTTATTTCTTCAAATATCTAACAAATCTCTATAGAATTACCGATTTAATTGACGATCAAAGTGAGAACAATGATTTAGAGAGCGACAGCAAAGAATCCAACACAAATGATAGCCAAATAGATATTTCTCCTGGTAGTATTGATTATTTACAATCTAAAGCAGCAGGGACTCGAGATAGAGGTAAATATATATAATATACATATATATATATAATTTTAAAGAAATATAGAGGCATTTTTTTTAATTATTAATTTTGAAGTAATAGCCGCCCTAATTAATATTTACCAATCAATTTCATCATTATCAACACCCAAAATAAGTATAGTCCTGGCTAATATTTCTTTATGTCATTGGTTTTTTTTAGATGTTCTAAACTTAAACATTTCTCATCTATGATACCTTTAATTCGCTTCTTTATTAGTACATAGTAAAGATCCGCAAGCTATCGATCATTTGCTGCAAAAAACTGACAACAGCATGGAAATATCCTTACAGGTAGATCAGCCGAGAAAAGCGAAAGAAAAAGACATCAATTTGAATTTCTATATTACGGTATTGCTAAATTTAACTCGTTTCCTTCGCTTTTGATGATAGTATGCGAAGTCTTGGCTAAAATATGCTAAGGAAATATCTACGTATGTTGAGAAGAGGTCAAGACTAGGTTAGAACACTATTTTATATTCTCATTATTCTTAGACTTCAATTAGAGGTCTATAGGAGTAATCTATCAAGAAGCTCAGATAGCTCAAATTATTTATAACACATAAATATTCCATTTTAGAATTGGATTATGCTAAAAGTTTAAGTAAATTAGCCCAACAAACACGCCAGGCTATAACCGAAGAGGTAGATACACAATAAATGAGTCATTTTATTTAATTTGATATTTGAAAATTTTAGCTCAAGCATGACAGCGAAATAATAAAATACCCCATAATATATCATTTTCCAATCCTATTTTTACATTTTCTATAAACTTGTAGCCATTCCTGCCATTGCAGTCCGTCTTTTGTACCTCCGTAGACAGTGTAAGCGCCGTACATGATAGAAAAAGAATTTAACACCATACTCAAAATTATGTAAAGTGATATATTATTTCAAATTATCCTTTTGTAATATAGGATATTGAATATAGTAACGTTGTTCAACAACTATACAACAACCAATTGAACTTGAAATTTACTGAGGTGAGTTAACTCATATATATACCGTACATACTTATCAATCCTAAATCTACGCTGCTGTTCGTTGTAGAAATATAGAACTCATAATTATAATTTGACTATTAAAAGAAGAATTAAAGCTAGTATAACAAAATGTAACAGATTTAACTGAACGTCAGCTTAAGTAATTCAAATATGATTTCGTTCATGAAAGATAGGATAACATATATATACATGCTTGTTAGCGAATTTTCAGCATCTATTCCAATGAGAAGATATACGAAACGAGAATTTTTCATTTTTCGCAGAATTATTCTACATTCAGTCATATATTTCCGCAAATAATCCTTACATTTCAATTAGAAGATCATTTAAGATATGAAGTGGGAATCCTTTTTTAAAAGCAATTTTAGAGCACTTTTCCGCGTAATTTAATAGTATCATAGCTAAAGACTGCTCCGTACGCGAAAATTTTTGATATCTTATAAAAGGAGCTTAAAGCGTCAAATTTTGAGTCGTGCTATGCAATAATACATTGATAGACTAATAGAAAAATTGGCTAATAGTTAAAAGCGACGCAATAATCGTAAACTTAGGACATTTTTTTATGAGTATAAAACATGAGACTCAATGCGATTGTATGTTATAAACCTGTAGAAAGAGTTGAGTACCGTAACTAATAGCTAAAAATTGTACAATAATCACAAATTTGATCCTCTTGTAAATATTAACCATCAAATTCATCTTAGTAATGATATATTATGCGATACAGTGCCGCAACTAATAGTTAAAAGTTGTGCAAAAACCAGCAATTTGATCCTCTTGTGAATATTAAGCATCAGACCTATCGTAGCAATGATACTATGCGATACGATATATCTAGATTTATAAAATGAGTATAAACTGAAAATTGTCAATTTTAGACAATTTATTGCATATATATTATTATTAGTGATGTGTAATATTTATTATATCCATTAAAATAAGTATAAATCTGGGCAAACATGACAAAACTGAATTGCTTAGTAAATATCTTTATATAAAGAATATTGCCATAACTCCTAGACTTTAATCCATATTATATTTCTTTAAACTATTATTGTTTACAGCCATTAAATACAAGACGAAATGAGCATGATGCAGCTAGAAAAATTCTTAAAGATAGTTGGATGAAATTAGACAAGAAATATGTAAGTTCTAATCTTTCATCTACCTCAAATTTTACTTGAAGGTCTTTACAAATCTTTACGATCATCAAAGGCCATTTAATAATAAACTGAACTAAAGTGAAACTTTAATTCAAAATATTTAGCAAGATGCAAAGAATAATATCAAAAAAGCCAAGAATAATTATAAAGCAAGAGTGCAAGAACATGTGAAGGTAAGCTACTTTTCAAGTTTTATTTCACACTACAAACTCTTACTCCTACCGTAGATTACTTTATAGTAACATCTATAGTAAACTCTATGACTGTATTTTTACATCCACAGTTATTTTAAATTTGCTTGATATTTCGTAGTGTTCAATTTTTAAGCTCGTACCTTAGACTTTAATAATATTGTTCAACTATTTTCGCTCTACATTTTTCAAACTTAAATGTCATTAGTTCTCCCTTCCTAGCTCGCATTTAGGATATTGTCACTGCTATAGACTAGAAGAGTTTGTCAAAGATGCTTTCTGGGCATTTTTACAATTTCCATTTCCTAATGTCTTATTGTATCAAATTCAGTCATCCAAATAATGCAAAAGTGTAAATTCTCATAGATATTGAGTAACTTTATAGCATAATGTAGTATCAACAAATATGCTAGCAGTAGTGACAATTTAATCAATTTTAAATCTGTAACAATCTTCAAATATCTATTCAAACAATACTAGTAACAGAATAATCTAAACAGAACAACATATCACATATAAGAGCTATAGAATATCAAGTCATTAAGTTGTGGGTTATTTTTCTTCCATTTTAGTTTAAAAGTAGTACCAAAGGTGAAATTATAACAGGCAAGAAGAAGCGTGAAGAAGATGAAATAAAACACAGGGTATTTAAACTAGCTTTAATCCTATAACCATAACAACATTAATTGGTTGTAAGAAGCATGTGATATCCAAAATCCAAAATTCCTCTACTTATAATTTTCTATTTCTATAATTACTACTAATGGTCAGGATTAATAATTATACTTCAGGAGTCAATAAGAAATATTTCTAAATTTCGGTTCTAGATTGAGGACGCTGATGTTACTTTAAAAGCCGCAACAGTAGAGGCAGAAGGTATTCAAGAAAATCTACAAAAATCCAAGGTGAGTCATTAAGATCAATCAAATTTAGCGATAGTTTTTTACCAACTAAATGGAATCACGATGGTATTTTAGGACAAATTTCTCGTTGAGCTGAGGCAGTTAATACTCCAGTGCGATGTAACTTTAAAGGCAGTAACGGCAAATTATTTTCAAATGAGGAATACAGCGTTATCGCCATTCCCAGTACAAGTAAATTGATGTAGAATCACATTTTCTTCATCTAATGTTCACTGTTATCGACACTGAAGGCTTTCTAATAAGATCATCTGCTTCATTCTTAATATGTAATTTAGTATCAAACTTTATCCGACAATGCCAAAATGTATGAACCAGGAACACAATTTATTGAATTTTTAAGTCATCGCCCAGAAAATGCAGAAGTAGAACCACCTTCAGCTACCGCAGACATGGACCGTTACAATTTCAGGTAGACTTTGATGTCAAGACACGCCATCAAACTTTTTCTATCCTATTCATTGCTGCAGTCTTCAGTTTTACGTAAATAGGCTAGCGATTAGAGTTTTAGTTCATCTACTTGGATGTCATTATGAATACTTTTTTCGGATGGAAATACACATTGCCATTAGGCGTATAATTTTCTATCTACTTAACTGGATTACAATTATAATTGCAAAGATTCTTTTAAAATTGGATGTTATTTCCGTTTCTGTCAATAAGTTTTTAATTTTTCTCAACTTTATTACAAAATATCTTGTTAATTGAATGTACTGTATCATTCTACATGTAATTCACACCTATCATGTCGATTTTTATTATAATGCATCTCATAGGTAAAGATGTAAATAATAATCGTTATAATTCATATTCATGTTTTTAGTGGCTCTTTTTATTGCAGCTTAAGGTGTAAGATTATGTCTTACTTTTTACCAGCAATTTACGTATTCACCTCAATTTTATTAGCAAGACACTCTATAATGATCTACTTAACCTTTTGGCCATTATAACATCTTATGTCTTCTCATTAATCGTAAAAGTGACTATAGTGTACATTACGATCTCTATTATGGTTGCGGCTAAAATCCACGAGCTCACCCCTTTTACTACCAAAAACTTATGAATAACCTTACCGTTATAACCATAATTTATCTATTTTAATTTTTATTCGATAGTAACATCTGTGCAGCCTAAGACTATGACCGCAATTTATTTAATCATTTTAATTTTATTACAAAGATCTCATAACCTAAGATTTTGGCTAAAATTTATCGGTTCATTTTTGTCTCATTACATAGATCCTGATAACCTAAGATTGTAATTATAATTTATCGATCAATTTTTTGTTTTATAATTTCAATTGCAGACGATGGCCATAATTTATCTATTCATTTTTTTATTGCAAAGATCACTATAGCCTAAGTTTTGTTCATAATTGATTGATCAATTTTTGTTTTATACTTTTAATTGAAGACAATAGTCATAATTTATCTATTAAATTTTTTTATCGCAATGATCTTCACAATCAAAAATTGTGGCCATAATTTAGCTATTAATTTTTGCTTTATACGTTTAACTTACGACTAAGGCCATAATCTATCCACTTTTGTTTCATTGCAAAGATCCTTATGACCAAGATTATGGTCATATTTGATCTATTAATTTTTGTTTTATTGCAAAGATTTTTTTGGCCTAAGATTGCGGCCAAAACTGATCTATTTTTTATGCTGTTGCAAGCGTTCTCGTAACTTAAGATATACTATACTATTTCTAGCTATAATTCGTAATCTATTCCGATCTTATTATCGAAAATCTTATATATACTAGTTTATTACTGACATACATGCATGTGATACTCTATGTTAACATAAGATATTTCCTATTTATTAATTTATTGTATACCTATGCTGCTGAAGACTTTAATGTACTTTCAATCTTGAATTGTATGCATTTTCTTACTGCTATAGTTCTCGCCGACAAGAAGAAGAAGACGGTCTGTCTACTGATCCCCTTAATAGAAGTTATGATTCCAGCAAGAGCTTAGCATCAGCATTTCAAGAAGACTTAGACGGTTCTGTAAAGCATAAGAATGCTTCGACAGATTTAGAACCCGATGAAGCTTATAAACATCGTGGACGCCGAGGTAAGACGATAAGGGCTTGGAGTTTGATTCTAATTGAACCGGATGCCTATTCAAAATCAAATAATGGTTTAACCCTATAATTTATAACAATTTTATTTAACTCCTTTTTCCTTTAATTTGCAATAATGTTGCTATCATTGACGTATCCAAACTAATTATTTACCGGTACTTTTTTATCGCAGACGGCGGACAAGTAGCTCGAGCCCTAGCGATAGAATTATTTTCATCACCTGGTCCTTTCGCCAACATGGCACTTTCTACACCGGCTAAAACTCACGTCTTACGAAAGTTGAAATCACCATCGCGTTGCCAAGAATGTGATTCTTTCCTCTACTTTTCTGGAGCAGAATGTGAAAGAGTAAGTAATGCACATAGCAAATTCGAATTCTATCAAAATGATGCGCGATTATTTTCTCAATGCAATTGTATTCTAAGAATAACTAATACCAATGATACCACAACATTAACCAAATTGAATTGAACTATTAGTGCGGCTTAACATGTCATAAGAAATGCTTGGAAAAACTAAGTATCAGCTGCGGATCTAAGGTACTGCATCTTATAAGCAAATAAGAAAACAACGTCAATGCATGTATTTGAGTTAAACTAAGACAAGTTTAAAATTGTTTTACTAATAAAAGTTGCCTCTAACCTTTCCTTATCTTATTGTATTGTTAGCATCATCGGAAACTATCGACCTTTGGTGTAGATATCCATGATCATCTAGTAGCAACAAATCAAATTGGAGTTCCTATAATTGTATCGGTGTGCATTAACGAAATTGATAAACGGGGTCAGTCATGAAAGCGTTCTACGGCTACTTCATCAATCTTTTAGGCTAACTATTAATTGTCTCCTATTTTTTCTTACTATTTCTTTCCATCACTTGCAGGTTTAAAAACTCAGGTACTTTAATCATAATATTTATTACTATCATTTTCATTCATCTTTTCTATATGCGATCATCATTTCAAAAGATTATAACCACGGATAATATTGAATACAACATTCGCTAGATATTAATAGATCATTTGATTACGTTAACTTCTTCCCTATCTCATCACGCTAATAAATCAGTCTCAGCTTGACTCCTATTATTACAATTATTGCTGTCTTAGGTTTTGCAATAATTTTCTACCCATTCCGTAGCTGTAAATAACTGATAATATTTATAGATTGAAAATAAACATTAATTGTAGACCTTATAAGGCCAAAAATATTGATTTCTTATTCGATTATTATCATAAAAGGGAATCTATCGGATATCCGGTGTAAAATCACAAGTTGAGAAATTATGTCAGGTATGTTTAATTTTGTATTTCGATGATGATTTTATCGATAAATGCCTGTATAGGAGATCGATTGTCTTTTGCAGTAGCTTTCCTTTACCAGAGATTAACAATGTCGATAGACTTTCCATTTCTTCGCAATTATATCAACTAGTACGTATAAATTGATTTTATACCCAGTCGCCTCGTAGATCTCTTCTAATGATGGCAACCTTCCCAATGATGCCTAGTACAATATTGATATTTTCGCTATCCCGGACATTATATAGGATAAATTGTCGTGATAGTCATGATATTAGACCTAAAAGTTTAAAAAAGTCAGTACAACCATAATTCTCATCTTTTTAAGTATCATCTATGATAACTATTTGCGATCTGTTATCGTGATTTCCTTACTATTATTCTAATCTAAGTCTATTGAATATAAGCAATACTTTAAGAGAGTTTTTACGGTGGTCAATTCTTGAAGAAATCCTTATAAGCGTTATTATAATCCAATACCCTTTACGAATAGAGTTGTTCATCATAGCTCTTTAACCTATAATTATTTTGAATATCACTATAGTTTGCCATGTAGTACCTTTCGTAGCTGGTTCTTCTTCCAGATGAAAGTCTACTAATATAATTTGGAATTTATAATTAATTGCATTACATTGTCTTAATTATCGAATTTTATTAATCTATAATAGTTCTTCGAAAGTATGGACTCCAGTAAAGATATGAAAATAGATCTATCTAAAACGCCGGTCCATCATATTGCCTCAGTTCTGCGCTTATATCTTAGACAGGTAAAAATTCATCTTCCATATAGTATATAAATAAGATAGCATATTGCCAAACTCACTCGGGAAACGGATAAGCTATTCTATTCATTTTTTGATAATTTATCAATCCTGTGATTCGAATAGACAAATCAAAATATTCTATTTCATAGTAAGCTGTATTACTGATAATTATAATTAATTTACTAATGCCTATATTACTCTAAACTACAACAAAATGAGACTACTTTAGACTGGTTTAGATTTCAGCTGTGCTAAAATAAAATCTTAGCCAATAAATAAATTAATGCAAAACAAATTTAAATATATTTCCAGCATAACAGAGACTGCAGTTTCTTTATAAGGCTTGCACATCTTTATCATTTTACCTTTCTATGTATTCTGTTGCCTCCAATAAGAACTAATGATATAAATCATATTTACAGACTGACAATGTAATACAAGATCTTTAAACGTTATTGAATGATTAAGAATGTATAACATTTTCTTTAAATGTTGATTAGCTGCCTGAGCCTTTATTGACTTTCCGATTTTATGAGCCTTTTATTGAATTGGCAAAGGTTAGAATAGCTTTTGATAAAGTTACCTAGAAAGAAAATATACTCTATTTACTTTCATATACATCAGTTTATATATATATGATAATTTTTAAACCTATTTCTACTACTCATTAGGAAAGCTTTAAAATGCCAGAAGAGGAACTCATAAAAGAAGCTATAAGATTAGTGGAGAAGCTACCAGAATCGAATTACAAAACCTGTCAAAAAATTGTTGCTCATTTAAAACGGTAATTTTTATTAATTTTTTCGATAGGTGATCCAATTTTATAGATCTTCATGATCATAACTTAGAAATTGCTATTCTCTATCGTTAGAATCCATGATAATTACGAGGATAATAAAATGTCGGCTGCCAATTTAGGAATCGTTTTTGGGCCAACTATACTAGGTCGACGGTAAGAAATATTTCATGCAATACTATATTCTAATCGATAGACTTGATGAGATGTAATAGAAAGATCTGAGCTTGATAGATTTATCTATTCTAATGCATAAACTTCTGGAAATAAAGTATAATAAACTGTATTTAGATAGATTCATCTGTTTTAATAAATAGATTTTTTTTTAAATGTCGCTAGACATGATAGATTTATCTACTTTAGTAGATAAACATTTGAAATGCTGCATCATTAGTTGAAATTGATACATTAATCTATTCTAATAGATACGATTCTTGAAATTTAGTATCATGAGCTGAAATTAATAGGTTTGTCTATTCTAATAGACAGTACTTTCAAATACAGCATCGCTTGATGACCTTGATAGATTCATCCAATGCACACCGAATAATCTTGATATAATATAGCATAATAGTTAAATTTGATAACTTCATCTATGCTCCAATGGATAACTTTGATAAAATATAACTTAGCAAGTTGAACTTGACATATTCTTTTATTCTCCGATGAATAGATTTTTGAAATATAGTGTTAAGTTAAGAAATATGATAATTCTATAAGATACCGGTACTTTACTTTTTGAACCTGTACCAGTTCAACATCAAGATACTGGAGAAAATTGTCATCAAACTCAGAATTTACGTAGATGAAGAGATTGATACCTTAACTTTCTTTAATAGTCAAACGGAAGATGCAAAAGAAGGCTACAAGGATATGAGTTTCCAAGCTAGAATGGTTGAACTCCTAATTTTAAATCAAGCAAAAATATTCCGATATACACAAGAAGATACGGAAACTAATGACGAGCAAGACGAGAATGCAGCGCTCGAAAATTCAACTACTGTTTCAAGCGATGATCCGTCCGATCCTTCTCATCTAACCACGTCTGGAAATAAATCCTCTGATGATTTATCCGCCACAAGCAAATCTAATGACAGTCAACCCCTTCCTGTATATTACACGATATTGATTTCATTTTTGATGCTGTCATAATTATCCTATTCAACATTTTAAAAACAAAATATTAACAGTTAATGCTATTTCTTTCCTATCAAATCTTTATAGCAGAATGAAAATGTCGATTACCCCGATAATACAGAAGATATTTCAAGTGATGATGACAGCGAATATGATTCTGATTTTATCACTGTCCACCATAATCAAACCAAGAACGAGTAAGTTCTAAAATTGCTATAAATAGGATTTAATTAAAGTGTTGCAAACTGCTCATCAACAATGGCATATATTTACTAAAGCCAACTCAATTTCGATCCTTATAAAAATAACTAGGGACCAACTAAAACGAAAAAATTCAATCAAACACGAAATTAAAAACAGCAATGACTTGGATTATGTGCCACCTGTAAGTTTTTGTGCTTTTAAAGCCTCTATGTGTAAATTACAATATTTTACGTGTCGATATTTTTTGCGAGATAGGCAATATACCATGAATCTAATGACGATTTCATGCAAGAGGAAGATGAATTAAATAATAGCCAAATATCTTTTAGCACCGGAAGTTTAAGTAATTAATTTTCTAATTATTGCTTAAATGATCATCGAATACAGAATAACTAAACGAATAACTCATCCCAACTTTCACTAGAATCAGATGAATATATGGAATTCCTGTCTACAGAATCTGCTCAAGATGTGATGACCAAATCATCATCTCATAATATTATTAGAGAAGTTACGACAAGAAAAGCGCATCGATCAGCAAGCGATATTGGAAGATATAATGATAAACGTTTAGCTAGGCTAGACTTTAATCCACCTCTTACTTTACCGATAAACCCTATCCCGTTCACCTATCCGCCAAAGCCTGTAACACCTAGCAGTCAATCTATAACGTTAAATAAATCAGTTTCTGTTCCTGACCGAGAACCGAATTATGCTAAACCTTCAATAGCCGGTGACCACTTTGATCCTGTTTATGAATACAGGAATGAATCTCTTAACGATCCAAATCATGCTTACAATAAACCTCATCATTCTCCAAGTGAAAGTAACTTAACTGCTAACTTGCGCCAACGACAATATGAACAATTATCGCAACAGCAAACTACCAATGTCAATACTTTCCGATCATCTAAACTACGTCATCGACACTCGCTAGATCATCAACGTGCTGGGATTTATAGAGAACATTTACGTGAACGTGGATATAGCACAACTAATTCAGAATTTGCTGCTACAAATAGCGGTGACGAAAACCCTAGGGTAAAATATGTTTGAAAGTATAAATGAGACATAAGATTGTCAATTTTATAGCATAAAAACTAATAATATAGGAAGAAAGCTGTACTGAAATGATAATTATTTTACAAGTCCAATTTTACTAGTACTCCGTTAGTAGGTGCAACAGCTTTCCTTCATCACTCTTTATTTGCCATTATGAAATAAGCTATCTAAGGTAGCAATAATTAGAATAAGAATTTTTTAGACTTAATAATTGACAAATATTTCCATCATTCGATGACAATATCTAATATTAAGATATTGAGAATTTTCGTTAGGATGATTAACTGTCTTAGCTACCCAGATACAGTGTTAGAAAAATGGATCAGAAACAATACGCACTCAATTTTCTATATATATATATACATGTAATTATTAGATTGTAGCCATGATAACAGCAACAATGATGAAAATGTCAGTTCAATGTCTATGTTTATTATTTGTTAAGGTTGATCATAATGTTATAAAATATTAGCAGAACAAATTAAACGTGAATAAGCGGTTGTATGACAAGACTACTTGCTGTTAGTAAATGGTGTATTATGATCACATTGCTATTAATTGTAATTTTATATCATGATGGTGATATAGTACAGTAGGTAATTTAAACATTCTTATTGATTTTATACAACCTAATACGGTTATAAAATTGCAGTAAAGTCATAGATTCAAAACTAATAGGGCATAAATTGCGCTATTTTATATATACTCCTATACCCGCCGTATACGTTGAGCAAGGGAGACGAAATTTTATAACACCCAAAAAATGGATCTGGCTTGCAGTCGATAGCTCAAAAATGAAGAGCTACTGTGGAAATTAGTAAGATACCTATAAAAGTTTCATCGCTCTATCCTCATTGAATATGCTTGGAATAGATTTATTATATCGTAAATCTACTTGCTATTCTATATTATCGTATTCAAGATCTATAGCAACGATCATCATGTACCTTGCATTTATAATATTAGCTGTATTTTGATCATGCTGAAACAGGACAAGTACATGTAAATAGTTGACAATAAATATTCGTCAACAATAATTTTAAACATATAAAATTATAAAAAAAAATTGATTCTGCTATAACTTTTTCTTCAAAATAAGAGGTTTTTTATTATCTATACTATATTTCGTCTTGGTATTTATTAATTCTTACTAATAGTAACTATGAAGTAAACTTTAAAGTTACCTATTTTATGATATATAAATTTTTTGGATATGAAAACGTAGCTTTATTATATAATCAAGATATTAGTGGATCAATTTTTTATTGACTTATACTTTCCATTATAAAATCTATTGCATAGGAATGGCACAATATTGGTAAGGATAAATTCTGATTAGAATTTGATAATTAAGAAATAGGGAGTCGATTAGAGTATCAAAATAATAATATCCAAAAGTGATAAGAACATTTATTGTGTATAGCAAGACTGGCACTTGTCGACTGCCTAAATGATATTATGCAGCACCGTATTAGCCAATTTTAATTACACTTTGGTTATGTGACGATAGATAGAATTTTGGGGAGTTTTTTAAATAAAGCTATTATAAAGAATTGACTCGTGCCCATCGCTTATGTAATATTGCAATCTTTTAGCGCTGTAGAATTTATATTTTACTGAAATACAGACTAAAGGCATCCAATCCATACTGATGATGATGATAGATGATCTCATTCTAACAGTATAACCGAAAATTTAGGCATTTTATTATCGCTGTTGACTTATCTCTATGATAGACCATTCTATAGGCATACCGCACCAGCATTCAATAGAGTATTGCTGATGTAAATTTTTCTATAACGTCTATAATTGAATTACATTGATCACCAGTTCTCTAGCTATCTTATTAAGTTAAAAGAAGTTGATATCTGCAAGATCAGTTCTTATATTTACATCATGTATGATTTCTCTGAATTATACCAAAGATGCATGCCTAGATATCTTATGATAATCTCCAGAACGCCCTATCGGTAATAAGAATAGATATGCTAAATCTTTAATATATCTTTTTTTGTAAACTATGGCTACATTCGGTATTCTATGCGATCAGCAATAAGATATAGGTGCAAAATCTACTGTACGTATTGTCTTTTTCCTTCGAATTATTCTGATACTGAGTGGCCCAAACATCAATACTACGGATCACAGAAAGACCAAATTTACAACAAGCGCTAATACAAAAGTCTACTTTATTAAGTATATCTATGTATATTTCATAGCCACAATAACAAATTTTCAATGGTGCTCATAAAGTTTATTTTAATTAAAATTCGCTAAACCCATATCATTAGAAGATTATCACATCCTAATAGAGTTTATGGACTTGTTAATCAGCTAATTATATTATGAAAAAATTTTACGAATGACCACCATTAATTATTAATTATTTAATTAGTTACTATCCTATAATCAAGCACTCTTACTACTCAAGATTATGTGACTATAACTTCAATAAATTTTATAAACGGATAGAAATTGTCTTACCAATAAGATATAATGCACAAGTAAGGTGATGCTCCTTTCAAGAACCAAATTAATCTCGTTAATTATGGATGCAATATCTTACTATTATACAACAGAAATACCTTACTCACAGACAGTTCTTCACACAGTAATTATTTAAAATATACATATATAATAATAAATCGATTTAAATCAAATTAGAACCAGAAATCAAATAATATCTAAGAATTGATGTATTGCAAACTATTGACATGGATTCAAGTTGCAATTATTAAAGTAATATGCTATCTACTCGCATGAGCATCTCTGCAAAGAACTTATTAAGTTGCTAAAGGGTTAAGCTTAATGGTTTTGAAGCGGTTGCAGGATGGAATCCTTCAATTCGTCTTTAAAAGAGCGGGTCATACCTTCCGTACTATCTGTAGCACTCTCATATTTTATTGATGTATAAATAGAGTAATTTTTGTCTCTTAAAATTGTATTACCTACTGTAATGAATATAATCTTACAATGATCGATGCCATCACCCGTACTTTCAATTATAGGAAAGTTTCGATACCAATCACCCTCTTCAAAATTTTTATTCGCTATCACGACCACTTTATGACAAATGCGAATGAAATGATCGATGTTCCACATTTTGGTTTTACCAATAATAAAGTGTCGACCTCGTCGCAATACATTATACTTTCCAATCTTCAAGATCTCTTCAGCTATAGTTTTTGCAAAATCATGTTCTTGTCTTTCATGATAGACGAGTATCTTTGGTAATTGAAGATTCTGGTGAGTTTCTATATTAAACGATCAACACATATTTATTAATACTATTACCTCTTGCTAATATTATACGTTAGGCATATATGCGTATAATGACAAACAGTGAATAATTTACACTCGGTTTTGAAGGATTGGTTGCAACCATACTATCTTCACAAGTCTAACATGGAAATTTCCATGTCGTACTACAGAAAAGTATGCGTGAGTATTCGATATTTTTAGATGTATATATAGAACTAGCGGAATTTTTTCATGTCATCATGGTTGCAATACTAACTGCATCGCCTATACTAAACAATCAAAACATGTACATTAATACTTTTAACGGAACTAGTGGGAATCTCTGTGTGCCATCATGGTTGCAATGCCATCTGCATTGTCTATTCGACAACTGGGATTAGAAAAATTGAATATTGCGTTGAAGTATCTAAAAGTACATACTGAATTATAATAGATATTGCCGTCTCTATTCGATGGAGGATATTAGCTTAGCATACTGCCAGTGTAGTATGCGATATCGAGGTATAAGATTTAGGCAACCTTATCTACTCCATACTCCATTACAGCAATCATTAAAATATTTAACTGCACTGCGAGAGATGTGTCCATAAGAGCACTTAAATATACTTTAGCTCAGATTATTTATATAACTACGCTACAAGATGTTGAATTAAATCATGATATTATCAGATATGGCACCAATAGATACATTAGTATGACGTTACTCTTGAAATAGGGAATAGAAATGTATAATATTTTATACTAGTAGAGATCGTTACAGCTAATAGCGTATCTCCTTTTATTTACCAGGTGCTGTAGTGGGAGGGTTTTGATCTCTATTTCTTCCATTTCTCAATATCTCCATGACTTTCTTTGCTACTTCAGGCCATTCCATATAGCAATTCTCGATAACCCTTGTATCTTCCTGATCTCTATACATTGCTTGCAAGAGATTAGCATTAGGGAGGTTCTTGAATTCTTCCGTCGACAAATCGCTTAGTACAATAACCAGTTTATCGAAGATATTTTTCTTAACTAGTATAGAATCAATCACCGAACTACGGTTTTTCAATAGAAGCTTGGATAAAAATATAAGGAAATAATTCGAATTGGTAATAGCTTTCTCTATTTCTCTAACATTGCTAGCTCCTGGTAGCTGCTCTTCAGTCTTGCAAAAGTTTTCTTGAATCTTATTAATTTCTTCTTGTAAAGGACTGGCATCGCTTCTCTTCTCTTCGGGAGCATGCAATAAATATAATTGACCACTTAAAGGAACTGTCGATGCGGTTTCTTCGGTTCCTGTGACATAAATAGGACAAAATGGCTGTTAAATAACGATTAGGTAAATAAATTATCACATTCGAGCGGCGGCTAGTATCACCCATTTTGGGAAGGCGAAAAAAATAAATTTAAACGATCATAAGGCACACAAATCATCGTTAAGAGTAGTAGCTGAAGAAAAAGTGAAATGATAAAATTGCTATCGGTAGTGAATGAGGACTGGGAAAATAGATTATAACTTTATTAGGGTATCGATTGCTAATCCTCGTTCCTGCAAGGCAAAAATGGCGCAACTGAACGAACAGGGGAACGTACATAATCGCCTGGAACAACAGCGGTTAGAAAGCGAAATGATGACTGTCGATAGTGGATGAGAAACAGGGAAGCAGATTGTAACTTAGAGCATGGACTGCTGCTCGTCGTTCTTGCAAGGCAATGATGATGAAATTGAATGACTTGGTGTCCATACGTACTGATACTCTTTGCTATGGGAAGGCAACAATAACGGAATAATAATGAAACAGAATGATGACTACTGTCAGTATCTATAGAGCAATAGCGCTTGTAAAGTAAGATGATAAAACTGCTGTCGATAATGAATAAGGAGGACTAGATAAATAAACTATTACTTAGAGTAGCCAATGATACTCTTCGTTCAAGGAAGGCCAAAGTTATACAGTCGAACGATGACTGGATACATACCCTGTACATACATTATCACTTAGAGCAGTAGCTGATGAAAAAAGTGAAATGATGACATAGCTATCAACCATCGAAGTAGGACTAAGAAAATAAATCGATCATTACTTAGGGTAGCGACTGATATTTCTTGCTCTGGAAAGTCAAAATTAACAAAATTAAATGACGGCTGGGTGTATACTGCAGATAAGCACTTAGAACTAAGAACTGAAGCTGGTAAAATGGGAAAATGATGAAACTACCGACAGTGAATAAGGACTAAATCACTAGATGGCGACTGAGAATAGGGACTGATACTCTTCGCTAGGGAAGGCAAAAGTGACGAAATCGCGACTAAATAACTAGATGGATAAAAATATGGGCCAGAGCAGTGGCTAATCGTCTTCCCTCTTGAACGCCAAAAAAGTTTTTATGCATTGAGTAAATGGCTAGACGCATCTAAAATAAAATAAATAACATTACCAGCTACGACGCTAGTCGATGCTACCTCTTCCGTTCCTATCAAAGCAAGGGTGAAATTAATAAAATTAGAACAGTAGTTATTACTCTACCCTTTTGAACGGTAAAAATATTAATATGCATTAAATAAATGGCTAAGCATATATAAAATAAAGTAAATAAGTTACCAGAAACGACGCTGCTTGATGCCATTTTGTCCGTTCCTATCAACGTAAAGGTGAAATTTATAAAATCGTACCGTAGTTGATTAATAGCTACTACAACAAAATTACCATTTAAATGAGTAGCTGATCGCAAGCTATTCACTCCTGTGAAGTAAAGGTGAAATTAATAAAGTTATAATTGATTAGTGACCACGTCAATAAGTTACCATTAAAATCCCTAGCTGATACTGAGCTTGTCATTCCTATAAAGTAAAATAAAAAAGCTTAAGTAAAGGTGAAACGATAAAATTATCGATAATTACTAATTGCACGAAATAACTGCCTCTTTCCGTGATGATCTGTTGTGGAATACCATCTATCCCAATAAATACATAACTATTTCTTAAGTATATTGCTACAGTACAAGAATACTGTAGTCTAAGATTGATCGCAATCAATTTTAATACAACTCAAAGAAACCTTATGTAGTTCCTATATTGAAATTATTCAAGTTTTATCGATAGCCAAACTACGTTGGTGTATTATTATTGAACTGATACACTACTAATAGTTAACTGCTGTATTCCCCCAAATAGATCATACTGACTGAATGCAGTATATTAGTCGGAAGGAAAAAATTAATTTAGAATGGCCTATAGTTTACGTGATACAGTTGGATACAGACCAAGTTTATAATGCCCTAAAATCTAGACTATTCCCTAAATATTATAAATTGAATTATGAGCTAGATCTGGCTGAAATCTGGACTAGTAATTGTGGATTCAATTAGCTCGCCTACAATAGAACTGTTTCTCAGTCAAGTGTTGAAATCGATTCTAATTTTGTAGTTAATGCCTCTTTGACTATTTCTTGAACGTCGACCATACCGAATATTATTAGGAAGAATAGAGTGGAATAGAGATTTAGAAATTTACTAAAGCGAGAAATTACATCCATAGTCGTGATTGCTTTCATGAGCTCAATTTCTTATTCGTCTACAGACTATCTTGCTACTTGAATGTGTTATATATCTATTAATATAGCTATTAGTATAGAGCCTATAATTCTACTTAATTAAAATAGGATGAGATTACTTCATCATTTATGTGGAAATCTTGAAAAAAAATGATTATGCCTTTTCCTATAAGACGGATACGCTGTATCTATGCTTATGTAGCCTGTAATTTTAATGAGTTATGAAAAGGATAATTTGCCGTACAATTTACGCCTAAATCTTTCTCCAAAAAAGTTCAGCTCCACTTAATATCTGCATGCCAATGATGTACTCAGTTTTGACTGAACAGAAATAAAATTGTTTTATGTGTTTATATGTAATTACTTTACATTGTTCAAGCATATAATATCGAATAGTTGAACCGAATGAAAAATAAATTTATTACTCACCAAAGTCTTTAAAGCCAATCTTAGTTGCTACTCAAAAATTTCAAAAAAGCTGAAAATCTTAACTAAATTAGTTTTAGAATTTTTTTACGCTCGCTATTTTAATGAGAAAAGGACTATTTCAGAGGTTATTGCATGACATCAGGGCTATTTATACCTATAGGTTACATCTTGAATAGAAAAATAAACTAATGAAAATATGACAATTTCCCCAGTTTCAGCAGGAGCACAACAGTGGCTGCAGAACCTTTAGCTATTTTGCTATTTTATTCTTTCAGCATGACCGCATGCTTATTTATAAACACAATGTCCATATTCTCCGAATTACAGTAATATCCGATTAAAGTAGAAGCTTGGAAGTACACTAAAATCACGTAAGGTATCAGATAAAACCGATAACTGGTTGTGATTGGTACACAAATGCATTAAATTTTCGTTTACGTAATAACATAAATAAACTATAACTATAGTGAAATATTACAATGCAAAGATTCACATGATTTCTTGCCTACTCAACAGTTTTTTATTTGTCTGTACTTTACCTAGTGTTACTATTCTATTAATTTAAGGAACTCAATTTAGTTCCATAATTGATAAAGTTTTTCGCGGTAATTGTCCAATTACTCCAAATTGGACAAACATTAGAAATAGCAATTTATAAAGTTCACGTAGAATTGTTTATTTACAGTATATGCGTACTTAGACCAGCCGACTCATGCTTTAAATTCCCATGCTTTATTGTAACTTTCTAACTAGCTCAGAAGTCTGATAATTTGTCAATAACTGAGCTTGTTTTACTCAATCTAGCGTAATGGTTTGATTTATCATATCTATTTTCTTGGTGAATCAAGATGATTAGTATTTATCTAGCAACCCATGATCTTTATTTTTTTGTCCATGTTTCTAATAATATTAACACTAGTTCCTACTGTACTCGACTATTAACTAACATAGAAGCCTTTCAACTAGTACCTAAGCTAGTTGAATCAGATAATAGTTATAGTGTAATGGTTTAATTCATTATATCTATTTTCTTAGAAAATCAATAACTTATATGACTAATATTTCTTAGCAACTCATAGTCTCAGTTCCATTGTCTATATTTCTTTTCACATTCTACTTGTTAACTAACTCAGAAGTCTATCAACTAGAACTGAGTTTGCTAAATCAGATCAGGGCTATAGTGTAATAGTTTAATTCATAATATCTATTTTCTTAGCGAATCAATAACTAATATGACTAGTATCTTTTTACAGCTCATATTCTCCATTCCTTTGTCCATGTTTCTACTCTATTCATTAACTAACTCAGAAACTTTTCAACTAGTAACTGAGTTTATCGAATCTGATAAAGGCTATAGCGTATTGGCTTAATGCACTACATCCATTTTCTTAGTGAATCAATATGACTAGTACTTTTAGCAACTCATATTCTCAATTCCTTTGTCCGTATTTCTTCTCATAATTTACTTATTAACTAACTCAGAAGCCTTTCAACTAGTAACTGAGTTTGTTGAATCAGATAGTGGCTATAGTGCAATAGTTTAATTCATTGTATCTATTTTCTTACCGAATCAATAACTAATGTCACTAATATTTTTTGGCAACTCATATTCTCAATTCCGTTGTCCACATTTCTTCTCCTATCCTACTTATCAAGTAACTCAGAAGCTTTTCAACTAGTAACTGAGTTTACTAAATAGATGAAGGCTACAGCGCAATGGTTTAAGTCATCATACCTATTTCTTTAGTGAATCAATAACTAATATAACACCATTTTCTACTAAATCAGTTTCTTTATTCATGTTTTTACTCGATTTATCAACTAACTCAGAAGCCCTTTCAACTATTAATTTAGTTTTTTGAACCAGATAAAGGCTGCACTGTAATGGTTTGATCCATCATATCCTTTTCCTTAGCGCACTAATTTGCTAATACGATTAGTGTTTTATAGCAGCTCGTATTCTCAATCCTGATTTCTGTATTTTTACTCAATTTACTCAATTTATTAATTAACTTCGATTTTTTACTTAACTGAGTTCATTCCTTTAGTAAAAATTGGTCTGGCGGGTTCATGCTTCAGTCTCTTAATAATTAATGTATTAGTAACTAAATTGATTCAACTTACGAATCAACTCATAATCTCAATTTTTTTTTCTAGGTTTCCATTATATTTTATAACTTAAAATGTCACATCTATCTAGTAACTGAATTCTCTTGTTGAGCAAACTGCTTGCTCAAAGGAGGCTGTATCGTATTGATTGGCTCATTACCCATTTTGTCAGCAGACTAACGTTAAATTCAGTATCCATGTTCTCTATGGACTAATAGCTAATTTGATTCATATTTCCAATTCCTACTTTTAGATTTTATACTTTGAAACTAACTCAAGGCTTTATAAATTGCTAGTAAGGAGTTCTTTTGCTAAAATGAAAGTTGCACTGTAATAAGCAGCCATTGTCTAACTTTTTTTTCAATGGATTGGTACCGTAGCTAAAATAATTACCGTCGTACTTGATAATTATCGGCAGAAATTATGCCAGTACTATTGACGCTATGCAACATATTACATCGCTCAATGCTATACCATATAGGAGGCTATCCTCTAAATCTTTTAATCACTGTAGTATTTGATAGTTAATACCTACAAAAGGTATTCCTATTTGATAAACGTTATACATCATACCGTACCACTCAATGATATAATATATAGGAAACCGAACTTTAATTTTTTTGTTTACCATGGTATTTGATAATAAATACCCGCTACAAGTTTCTTATTAAGGCTATGTATCATGCTTTATCTGCTAATGATATGCCAAACAGGAGATCATTCTCTAAATTTTTTTAATTACAATAATATTTGATAATAAATATCCGCAAAAAAATTTCTTAATTAGTCCTATGTATCATGCTATATATGCCAATAATATACCCTCTAGGAAGCAGTTCTTAAAACTTTTAATTGATACAGCTTTCGATAATGAATACCCATAAAAGTGGTTTATTATATAATTAGCTCAACACATCATGTTACATCATTTAATGATGTGCATGTAATGAGTGCGTCTCACAATAACTATCTTAGTCAAATGGTATTTTCTAAAAGGCTTTTATTACAAGGTTTTAGGAATAGTAGAGCAGTAATTAATTACTAGAAGAACTTAGTCTAAAATCTAAAGTATTCCGAGCTCAGAGCGAAGTGAAGTCTCTTCTCCTCTGTGAGCTCATCTGTGCAGTTCTTATAAACATTTCGTTAAATCTATTTATGGCAACTTGATTAATCTACAATCAGGCATGAGTCTTCAAACAAAATACTTTTCTCTAATAGTACATCATTATTTTCTACAATCTAAATCATTCTACTTAAGATGTCACTACCCTTATATTAACGTCTAGGCCCTTTCTTCGAAGGGTATCTTAACAACTACATTGTTTCTAGCTACATAAATCTTGTACCATAATTAGTCAACTCGGTATAAAGTTACTGAACCTCTGACAGGTCTACGACAAATGGTAATACTATCTGTTAAATGAGCACATTATCGTAAACCGTCAGCAAAGTGACGGGAGTTTGTACTAGTATCTATTCAAAGCAACCTAACTATATCAAATATTGCTATCCGTATAATCAAATATGGGTGCATCACTACAGTGCAATACAGGAAACCATTCTGTAATTTTTACCAGACTCATCAATGAGCCAATAGCAGTAGTTCGGTAAACTTACTCAATATTCATGGTTTATTCTGCAATATTAATGTTCTTTTGAACCCTTGGTCAATAGCTTAAATTTGAAAGTGAAACTGTATAATTTTTTACATTATACTCAATCGACAATAATGATTTATTGTACAGTAACTGTCTCATAATTTAGTTGCTTCTTTTGTGCCAGTATCATTCGATTTTGATCGATTGTTGGGTAAAGAGTAAATTATCGATATTTCAATAGGATATAGCACCTGCTTAAAATTTTTACTTTGCCTGGCAAAATTGTATTATCAAGGATAACAATTATATAGCGATACCTATTTATTGATGAAAATCTACTTTCGATCAATGAATTTATTGAGCATAATCGGTTTTCTATTATTTAAAAACCTTTTATATTGTATTGTATTAGTGTAAGATCTACTTTTGATCAATAAATTTATTGAGAGTGGCTAATTTTACATTAGTTAAAAACTTTTATACTGTATTTTTATAATATCTACTTTCGACCAATAAATCCATTGAGCGTAACTAGTTTTATATTAGTTAAATGTCTTCAACTAGTATTCTGTATCCTTGGTCAATTGTAGTGTCAGCTCTTTAAATCTAAAGACTCAGGTATAACAACTTTATTATTGGTCAAAACAGTTAATAATAGTAGAAAGTTATACAGGTAATAAATGATTTATTAGCATTTCTCATTATTAATTGGTATGATAAAATATCACTGCTTTTTTTTCAAAAGGTAATTCTAAAACAATAGCGTCTGCATAAAAGTAATGGATACATCTGCAGGATGGATTTGATAGTCATTATTATTCTATAAACCTTTTTCGAGCAATTAAATATTGGATAATATTCCTATTGCCTGTGTAACCTATGCAGCGAATTATATAAGCGTACTAGCACTTCAGGAACTATTCAAATATTTAAATTAAATTAAAATCGTATTGTAATTATATTGTTAAAGTAGTCCCTAATTGTACCTACTATCCAATTGAAATTGATCAATCTATCGTAATTATAATCGTTCTCAACGGTAATTGAATTAAAACGTACCTCTTCTCAGCTAAAATAATTGCTCTTGCGCCTCAATTTATTAACAATAATCGCCGTCAGTAGCTAATTATCTATAAGCTTGTTTATTCATTTCATCTTGATACAGTCTTTGATTCTGATCTTTGATCATCGCTTTGTGTTGATATTGGAAACTTTTTCATGTAAGATTGCTTTCAGAACAGCATTAAAGTTAATTGAAACATTTCAGGTTGCCATTAAATATTTCTACGGAATAAAGGGCTTCTTACTTAATTAAACAATAGTATCGATTTTACTTTAAAATACCAATAATCTAAAGCAAAATTGTTATATTAAATTGATGTTAATTAAGCTATCGATCAATCTCGCACTTTTGGTCGCTGAGATGTATTAGTACTTTGATTTTCGTAATATATCGGATGAATGCCTACTGTCTATAGACATACTAGTGATTAATAATTATTAGTTCATCACTGATGCATGATCAATCCTGAAATGCAATACCTCATCTTATCAATGACTGATCTTCTGGTTTAAAGCTCTAGTCGGGACAAATATTGTGATATCAAATGTAAAGACCAAACATAAGGGCAATATTACGGCTCAAGAATTAGATACCCGAAACTTAATTCCAATAGTCCGTTTCCTAAGCATTTTTATTTAAATAAGACAGTTATTACAATCCATTCGACACGGCCTCCATAATTGTTAAGACAGCCCAATTACAAATGCTGTTAGGTCTATTAAGATTAAGATTCATATAGTCACATTTCTGATAGGAACAGATGTTGAACTATACACAAATCGTAATTACTTCAGTATTATTTGATTCTTTCAAATGATTTTATCATGTCATTAACATGCACATGCTATAAAATCATTACATTTGAAGTGGCTATACCACAATATCATCGACGGCTGTAATCTAGACCTTTGTATTAAAAACTGTACCTGGTTGTCTTTTTATCATAAGAATTTAAAATATCCTTGAACTGTAACGTATAAATATCAAGATAAAACCAAAACTTGATGACAAATCTAAAGCAATACATAATTGTCAACTTTCTATCAACATAAGAACAATATTTTATAACAGTGACAATACATCATTCGGTAATGAACAACGGTAGTAACATCAACTTTTTACAAGATCGAAGGATTTTCATGATATTTTAATCATACAGTAATTTACATACAAAGTTTAACCAAACGATCTTCTGCTGTTACATACGTATTACTAGAGAGTAGGACGTTACTGTTCGTTACCGTAACTATATTTTCCCTAGTAGGTGGGTATTTAAAGCAATGATGTCAAGTTGTTCATTTGAAGATAAGCAGTGTAACTGTATCAGTAGTTGTTGCAGGTTAATAAAGAAAGTAAAATAATCGTTAATGACAGATTTTCGGTTTACATAATTTAGTAAAGTTCTTCTGTCCGTGAATTATCTTTGCTATTGGAAAAATTAAATTTTTTTAACAGTTGCAAGTATTAACAACAGCAAGATAGCTCTGAAGTAGTTCGAATTAAAAGTAATTAGGTAATGAATACAAATATATAATAAAAGATGGCTATCACAGCTAATATGTTTAATTTGCGGTATAACGATAGAAATAATACCGCTAATTCTATGTAACAATTATCCATTCATCTGAATTGGCGATATGCCACGTAAAAATTAAAGGCTAATTCTTTAACAGGATATCATGTAAAGAATAGCTTAGTAAATCAAGCCGTATTTAGTATAACACATTCTATTCACAAAGACCCCATATGTATATTACAAATAAAATATATACCGCTTTTCATCCGTTATAAAGCTAGATATTAACAGTGTTCTTATGGTATCGCAACGTTATCTGATTTAGCATTGAAAATACTGTCGCGATCTTCTCAATACCATGAATTCCCTTACAAATGTATCTCCAAAATTATTCACTCATAACAGTATCAACCACAATTCAATCCATCTTGAAACAACGTTGGAATTTCTTATCCTCTATCATTATTATTCTAAAACATTGAAAACATAATTCAACATGAGAACACATTATAGAGAACATGATCAGTAAAGGAGTTTATCTATCATCTATTTTACTTAATAATATTGGGATTCAATAACTGTTAAAATAATTCCACACTTGTATTGATCTTATAGAAAGTATTGGATAATTAATTAGTTAAAACTATAATGACAATACTCACTTTCTTCGCCACCAAATGCGGCATCAATATCTACTCCATTAACGTACGATGAGAATAAAGCGACATCAATAGGTTCCATGCACGATGGACAATGAAAAGATCTAACTAACCAACTATCAATACATTCGACATGATATGTGTGCATGCAAGGTAAGTAGCGAATTGGGACACCAACAACAAATTCATTCATGCATATAGCACACCTATAGTATTACGTAAAAAGAAAGCATGGACATTTTAGTAAAAACATGGTAAGATAACATCTTATTACACCGAAGAATTTATTAATATATAAAAAGGAATATTAAGGTTACTAAATCAATATTATATTCATCGACATCATTTGACGAAAGACAATAGAATTTATAGCCAATCTTATACTTTAATAATACATTTCTTAGTCTGTTGTTTTAGTCAAAGCTAATAAAATGATTATCTTCAATAAAAATTTTGCTAAATGATTACCACTTCACTCCGTGAAAAGAATATTACACGAATATTGGAACTATACAATACATGTCATATTTCAATTAAATGTAAAAAGCAATAATGTTTTGTGTACTAATACTGCAATATATAAAAAATGTTGCACCACTGTATAAATCTCTAAAATCTCTAAAACTCTAAAATACAACTGTTAATCGTATATGTAGGCTCTTGTTCGCTTCTTAATAATATTGAACTATTGTGTTTTATCTTCCGATTATAACAAAATATCTTATTTATTGGTACAGTACTTACAGACAGATTTAAAAACTCTTCTAGTATGAGTTATGTTTTTCTAACATACGTATAGCAACTGTCAAAAATCTCATCTAATCCTCTATGTAAAAAATTGGGTCGAATGTTAACGCGTAGGATTAGCAAGCACCCTTCTTGTTTCGGTTTATTCTAAAGTCTCTCTACAATATACCATAGCCATTAGAGTTAATAATTATAAGTGCCGACATAAACCATTTGATTCGTCGTTATTGGCTTACGATCAATTGCATACTCGGAAGGAAAATCTATTACTTGCTGATACTAACAAGCATTATAATACAGTGTGCTTAAAAAACTAGGCTACTACTGATGCGTATCAACTAATGTTAAAATCGAAGTGACACTTAAAAATAGAATACGATCGTTGCACAAATATTTTTTACGACATCAAAAAGAGAATAATTATGTTTTTAATAGCTGTAAGGTTGTTTACAGCTATGACATTACGAATTGCAACGCGAGTAGTAGCATTTAAGTCGTCCCTTTAAAGTAGAACAGTACACAGTACGTACAGTAGTAGTAGTAATAATATAATCTTCTGAATAGGGAATAATACAGTGCAGTTATAGAAGGACTCATTAACAAGTTAAAAAAAGGACGCTATTAATTAAATAAGATTTGTTAGCTATTTTGAGTTAAGCAAGCGACTTGGCTCCTGAATTAAAAAATTTCAGTATGGATAGTATTTATCCCCACTCATATTATTATTATTTCTATTTTCTATCAGAAAACATGTAATATTTTACATAGATCGCAGATTCATTTTACATTATTTTAAATTAGCATGGCACTCTCCCGACAGATTCAGTAGCAAACATTTTCTTAATTATTGCTAGGAAAGGGTTTATTACAAGTCGATCGCATATGTTCGCTACGTTACGATTGCTATGATTCGTTTTAAATTAATTAATAGTACATTTTACTCTTTACCAATGCCGATTTCCAGGTTGTGAGCGATCTTGCACAATTTAATGGTAAACTGCGGTAATTGTGCAATCCGAAATTCACTTTATACTGCACCTAGGCTTAACGCTACTTTATAAAAATGACTCTGGTACAGTGCGAAATAGCAATAGGTGGAAATCAAATATAAATTAAACGCAGGCGAAATAAATTCGCTTGGAAAGCTGACTACTATGGTAAGTGAGTCGGTGTAGTAATTAACAAGCTCTGTAATTCGTTAAAATACAGTATGTATAAGACCAAATTTACGATACTATTTGTTCGTTACGAGGACAAAATGGAAATTTACAAAAGTTTAACGACTACTCGTATGTTAACCGATCTACCTCAGTTGTATGTATTCAATATTAAAACTTTATCTGCTTAATCAGCCTTAAAAAAGAAAAAAAAGTCCCCAATACTAAAGTATCAAAATTACTGAAAGAAAAATATACGCGTATATTCCGTTTTACGGGGAGACGCTCGAAATGAAAAAATATCTATATAATAATGTATAGTACATTTATTGCATGGGTGAAAATTTATCGCACCTCCATTTTTTAATTAATTGATCCTCATAGTGTGCTGTAGTTTACGCATGATATATTAAGGTAACAAGACGCTATAATATTTCTGATTGCACTGTTACGTAATAATTCCATAGGAAAATGAAAAAGGAATGTACAATAAAGCAAATTACGACCTTATTTCCCAATCTATTCAATTTAATTTATAACGTATGGTGTTCAATTTAGTATTTCATACACATATCTGTCTCTGAGTTTAAATGTTGATAACATCGCGTACAGTGCTGTACTGTTACTACTGTACTTTGTCGAATTTGTATATTAATTTTAGGGAGAGCTAGATGGTAGAGATGATAAAGCTAAATGATCGAACAGCGTTCCGATGCACGAAAGAATTACTACACAGTACAGTACAGTACAATACTGTATTGCTGTATGATGATTAACAATTGAGATTATCTCATTTTTTAAAGTTTACTTACTCGTTTAGTTTTTCAGATTTATGTCCTTCGTAGGTGCCGATAGGCAAATGATCAATCATAGCCAGGCGTTGCATTAATTTCGATTGCTGCGCCTCGGAACAATGCTGTTGTTGTTGCGTTTGTTGTGGTTGTTGTTGTTGTTGTTGTTGTTGTGAGGGAGAATCTGCTTCGAAAGGAGACGATGAAACGGGAATGAAAGGTAATCTCTCCTAAAATTTCAATCATGAAGGATATGCTGTTATTGACCATTATCATTCGTGTCATAAAATAAACCAATATATAAATAATCATAACATCTGTGAGAAAACGAAAAACGACCAGCAAGTAAGGCCAATGGACGTTTGTGCAGTAACTCTTAGTATTACGCTCTGACGTACTAGACAGTATACTAAACAACTTCGTTTAGTAAGAGAACACAGTAAAGTACAATAATTAATTAATAAATATAAAATACTTCAGTAGTGTTTTCTTCTAACACCCTGGTATATTATTACAGTAATATACGCGTAGAAAAGATCAAAAAGAGCATATCATCATACTCAAACTTTAAAGGAATAGACGCCTACAAGAATTAGTCAAGACTGAGAGATGATGCCGATTGAACATATATTTTTTGACTATTTCATTTTTTATTAATCGATGGCCTGCATTAATGTACCGTCTTGTGGACTCTTTGTATCACCGCTTGCTATTTTTTATTCATCATCACAGACAATAGCCTAGTGTTTGGATACTACAATGACTGAAGTACGCGAAAATGCTATTTGATCTGACTGGCTATTACATCTATTTCGTGTTCAAAACTGATTCAATTGCGAACAAGAAATGGCCAAGGCAAGGCAGGATTTGATGACAAGTCGATAGCGATTCTCTGTAGAATTATTATTATTAATATTGTACGTCAAGTATTTGAGCAAAAATATTATCGGCACTGCTTTAATGCTGTATCGAACAGGTTATCTCAATAATGATATGCTGTCGTTCCGTACAGTATTACGATTAATCTTCGATGTGCTCGTATGGATAATTCAAAGTCATTCTTCTAATAAATGAAATATTTCCGGAAAAAAAAAAAATGATTCACCGAAAATCGTCAGTTGCAATTAGTAATGTAAAATTATAGACTTGCGACTAGAAATGGGCAAATGATAGATTCAAGCCAGCCAATTCAATTCGTTGAAGGAAATTGAATGTAATTATATTGATACCGTAATTATAAGACAGGGGGGATCATAAAGCATTAACTCAACTTTAACTAAACGTAGCACAAATGATGTGGATGCTAGAATTTCAATCTGAATTGCTAAGCTATTGAACGAGGTAGTTTAATCGAGTAGCGCACAATAAGGTAGCAATAAAAAAGCATCAAGGAGATTTCACTGACAATCCATATTGAAGTATTGAAGAATCAACGTTGGGAAGAAGATGAACTTTTGCCATCATCAAATCCAGTGAACTTGTTCCCCACAAAACTCTCAACACATATTGTATAGCACTGTGAAACTATGGTAACTTGGATCAAAATGATAGAAATGAATTTATTCCTTCGAAATCAAAAATGGGGAAGTTCAACTCACTTCATAAGGTGGTGGTGGCTCATGATGTTCATAATCTTCGGCTAATAATTCATTACTAAAATCACTTCGACGACCAAGGCAGCTTCCCATTTTCGCTGAGTAATTCGAGTTGAAGAAAGCTTGAAGGCAAGTCTTGACAGTAATACAAGTCAAAAGGATTACAATACAAAGTAATAGGAAGGGAAGAAATCAATGGAATAATCCACCCGTTGAACGTTTCGTCTGCAGTATTCAAAGTACAATTTTGTCGTCGTCCAACAAAGTCTTGTTTTCCCGTCGAGGTTGTGATAATTTTGGGCAAAAGCAGTACGTTTATGATCAGTCTTGCTTGTTTACACTACACAGTTTGCGGAATGATGGTGGCTAATCAATATTCTACTCGTCGACAATATTTTCAAGAGTTTAATAGCGCTTAAAGACCAATTCCAATCAACTTGAAATTGGAGAAGAAGACTTTTCAACCAACGTCGTCGTTATCAGTAGTAGAGTTGACACTCCAGAATTGGTGTAATATCGGCTAGTACGTGGTTCTAAAAGAGGTCACTTGTCGTCAATGTCTAACGTGACTACGATAGACAGGGTACCTACTGGTTCAGCTGGTCTAGTCAAAAGATACCGTAACGTTTTTATTTCGACGAAAAGGCTACAATTCAATCAAGTACAGTCATTGACTGCATCAAAGTGGCGCTACGAAACAGAATTCAGTTTTAAATGATACCAATACAGTACAAGCTTAGCCTAATTTCAACATCAAAAATAATTTCTTCAATATCAATGGAAAAAATCCACGGTAAAATGAGTCAATCAAGGTGGTCAAAGTGGAAAAGAGAGAGAAAAAAAAAATGACTTTATCTAAATCGATGTCGTGATCGTATTGGTGTGTTGCTGCGATTGACGGCCTATAAATACACTCAGTGGATGAATGATTGACGGTACAGTACGCATCAGTCGTCTACTGCAGTTCTTTGAACTTATTTCATAATATTGACACCTATCGATTGATGGATGGACCGCGCAGAATCATAACTGGTCGAATGAAAATTGTTTTTGTTCTATTTCTGCGTCGAGCGAAGTTTACTTTCTTGGCTGATACATAGTATCAATCACAATCGGCTGAGCAGGACAGTAGACTGCCGCTAGTCACCCCTTTCGGTCATGTTTTTGTTTTTGTTGATTTTATTTTATTTTTAGAGCTAAAGAAGATGAAGCAATCCTTTCATAAAAAGCTTTGGATTATACTATGCATGACATACAATGCATTAGCATGTCCGATACCTTTCAGTAAAAGCCTTGAATAGCTGTAAGTACAGTACATTACTCTGCAAGAGTCTATAGTAAGAGTACAACCAATTGAATCAAGCAAATGATGGTCTAAATTGAATCCATTCATCACATTTCAATGGCAGTATTTCAAGTCCCTCGAGAAAGAAAAAATTCCAGTGTACATTTTTGTGTTCCACTTTGTCAGCATTAAAACAGCAGATCAACTTGCTTCCATTTACAGCAATAATTATGCTATGTTTTGAGACAAATTATAACTATCAAAACATCCATCGATCAGTCATGTTATGCTACCAAATGGTACGAAAAAGCTCCTGCCATATTAATACTGAGCATTGAGTCAAAAAGAAGCCCTGACCCATCCTACACTGCAACAGTACAATCCATGACTAGCTAGTCTATTAAACAGCAGTACTGTATGAACACTAGAGCAGCTATTGTACAGTACCGTATTTGCGTGCCAAACCAACAGACTGAGCCGTGACGTCAAAGTTGGGCAATCCCCTTTTGGGTAATGTACCGTTACGAAACGGAACGTATCCAGACTGAACAGCGCAGTACGCATGCGGCTGCTTCATGCCTGAATGGCCTGATCGGCTGCGGTTTACCGGAAACAGGACAGTATCATCGACTGACGTCATCGCCGTGGATTTTTCCATCCATCCAACAACAATGGTGCCGTAAATAGAAGCGAGAAGACAAAAACATGCATTGACTTGGAAAGTAAAATAAGGCCTGCAAAAGGCTAAATTTGAAGGCTAAAATGAATGCAGAATAATCTTTGCATGATCTATTTTAGTCTTGTGCTGTATACATAGAGTTAAGCCCGATTAGAGACGATATACAGTTGCACAACGTCGACTTCCAACGCGAGTACTGTATATATGTACACTGTACAGTAAAGTGTGCATACACTTGTACACTCACTCAAATGTACAGAAACATTCGTCATTTGAGTACAGTCATAAATCGAATTTACGCTAGTCAATATCCAATACCGCAGTTTAGTTAGTATTTCGATAGAGACTGAGAAAATGGCTATGATTAGTATAGAAGATCCTCATTTATCGGCCATCTTCTAAGCCAATAGCGGCCCAGACCACTCTGGAAAGCGACGATCGATCGATCTGTAACCAATTGCTGGAACCTATACATGCCATACTCTATGTACATTGTACAGTATACCCGCATGTATTCATGGATAAATGTAAAATAGTAGACAATATTTAGGAAATCAGATGTCACCCCGTAGAAGTTATACATAGATGAGTGTATCTTGCTATATTGTAAACTGTTAATTTAATATTTGCAAAATAAAAGACGCCAGATTTAGCGTCTATTTCCAATGGGATTGATCTAATGTCCGTGTGCAGTCTTCTATATAGAACAATATTGTATTGAGATGGCAGTATTGGACATTGTACAGTAATATTGTTTATATACCCATATATGGACAAAAAACACTAGTGCATTAAGCATTTCTACAAATCTCTAATGCATAAAAGATATTGCATGTCTCAGAATTCCTCAACTATCACCCATGTAGACATGCATGTATTGCAATATGATAAAATTAGTTGAATACTGTCGGTAGGATTGTCTTACATGCCATACTAAGGATGCATGTAACTCAATTTATACAATTCACTTTCATCTGTTTTTCCAAATTATTCTTTATTTGGCTTGTATTCTTCAGTTCTAGCACAAACATTATTTGCGTTCTGCTTGAACTGATAGATATAAATCTTTTATCGAGGAAATATGTAATACATGCACCTGCATACTTCCTATTGTCAACTTGTGGCTAGACTTTAAGGTACCGTATATTTAAATTATCATCATAGTTAAACTCATCCAATGAAATGTACAGTAGTCTTCGTTCCATTAATAGTTAATAAACGAGGTAAGTAGTCTGTTGTTTATTCTCTATCCGAAGCTAGCCAATATAGCCATTTAGAATATGTGTGCATGACGTAAATCAATTCAAACTAAACATCAAGTTATAATTTTAGCAATAAATCATAGTTTTTAGTATTTTCTCAGACAGTTCCTTTTTCTAGGCTTGAATAAATTTTCCTGGCAATATCGTAATTTTAGTCCAATAATAAAGATTGAATGAATTATACATGAAGCAGTAATTTCCAATTTATAATTTCTAAGTAAACTATTTTCTATAATTGCAATCATGGGATATGATACTTCAATTATTAAAGTTCTACTTTGGAGCAGAAACATACCAACTGGATAAGATAAAATCGGTAATCATTTACATATCTATTTTAATGTTCTATATGCACAAGATTATTATATATATACAAACTTTAAGACTTACTCCATGGGTGAATAAGAACAGTCTAGTTCACCATAAATAATCACAACATATAGTATAAAGCTAAGAATTTTACACTTACGATGCACTATAAACTTTCAATGGATAATTAAGTTGTGTCGTTTCACTGAATAATTTTGGCGATTGTATTATGTAGGAGAAGAAAAGTATCACTCAATCTATTTTCATAGCTACATTTATGATCTTTTCACTTGTGCCTATAGAAAGTATTTATAGAGTATTTATTCATGGATAATATTTATTTTTAAATTTAGCTTTTATCTAAGTAAACACTTTACGTACAGTACTAAAAACTGTACACACTTTGAAGAATATGATTGAAATTAGGCGTAGAAGGAAGTTATCACCGCTAAAACGGATCGATGTATGCGTTTTAGTTGGTCCATTAATTAATGATTTTAGTAAGTTGTTCGTTAAAAGTGACATTTTCCGTATAAGATAAGATGATTGGCAATAATGTTGATTTTCTACGATTTGTGGATCATTGTAATTGCTGGATGATGTTGATCACATCAAAATTTCCAGCACCTGAGTGTAAGGATTTTACGAGTATTATCTGTAACCGGCAAATACTGAGCTTACCCTCTTCACAGTACTACTTTTAGCTGCAAAATAATTTTCAAATAGACTTGCGAATATTCTTAGCTTGTATGCACTGTATTATTCATTCTCTTATAATTGCACCTCACGCACTATAGGCCGAAATTTTGATTAATCATGTCTTCTCCATGCTAATGAAAAGCTAGCTAACATGAAGTGTTCAAGGTTAGAATAATACAAATAATGTCGTCTTTGTCTGCTCCTTTGATATTTCCTTTATATACTGTATCAATATTAAATCTAATCGCATTATAGATCAATGTGCAGCTATCAAGAAACTCGTATCATGTTATACAATTGGTATTAGTTTACCAAATGTTCTCACCATAGAACAAGTAGTACAGTATATCATTGGCATAATGTAGCCTTAATGCAGCGTAAAATCGATTGTTTTATTAAAGCTATAATGAATTTTCTTAAATATATGGTAATAAGAGTATACGTTCACAGCACTTACAGCATTATATTCCATTGTCGCAAATACAATAATACAGTAGTTCTTTCTTCAATCTGTAGCAGTGCAAAGATGCATTTTAAAAAGTCAAATAAATATCGCGATAACTAGCAATCGTATATTTAAGGAAATACACAGTTATTGCTTTATTAAAATGTAATTAAAGGTATAGCTATATAACAACGTTAAGAAATCTCTCGTTTAGCAAATCAGTAACAGCAGGGTAAGTCTTGAATTGGTAGCGGCAAAAAGTGCTGCCAAAAGTAATTTCTCCTGCTAAAATATAGAACCTGCATCCGACTATTTTCTTGCAAAAATTCCATATTACGAAATTGATACCACATCTTGCGCAAGGATTTAGTTTGTCGAAACAATAAGGAAAAATCAAGTGTGGATACATTGCATAGCAAACATATAATCTGAAATGCTAGCAATGTACCTAATGCTAGCCATAATGTGACGATAGGGACAAGAACAATTGCATTTTTACCTAAATTGAAACAAATTGATGCTGGTAAAGCATTGCGATAAGACGTTTGACCTATCATACATCCCATAAATGCTGTAAAAGTCATGTAGATCGCAAAAGACATGCCTAACCAGGCGTAACCCAAGAACGATACAAAGTAGTAAAAATTGTTCAAGCCAACGCAATTGACAGTAAAGGGGCAATGATGATCCATCATGCAAATACAGCGCTGGCAGACTTTACAATGTCTTGTAGCGCCTACTTTAATTCTATCACACTTTGTACAAACAGGATAATCCGTGTGAGAACCTAACGTAGCTAAAGGTGCTGTACCAGGATCATGAAAACTTGCATAAGTATAGTGAAAAAATGATACAATGCAAAAATAACTTGCTAAGAAAATATGGATCCAACCATTGATGGTCGCGTATGGATTTTCAGCTTTAACGTAAAGGTAGGCTGAAAAGAATAAATACATAAAACCAGAATAGACTGTAACAACGAGAGAAAATAATAAATACGAGGCATAATCTTGTGTAATTCGTTCTATATTAAGACGAGGAAATAGATTTCGTATAACATCAACCAATAATGGCAGCTGTAAAATACCAACAGCAATAATAATAATGATAATGATATCCATGCTAGCTGTTCATGCCGATAATACTACAACTGTGAGCTTGAACAGGTGTAGCTGGAACCTAGAAGACTATGATAATGACGAGGATTTAGCAAGCCGAACAGAATTATGATGTCTTTGTATAATGTATATTGGTGGCGATACGTTATGAGATAGGTCATGAATCATCAACAGTTGCCATCTTAAATGCCAAAGAAATGAACATTCTGCGTTGAATATTAGCCACTGCAGTTGATGTACGAGTTAATCGAAGAGACTCGAAATTGCATGCATGCAGCAGTCAGCAGCTATGTCAGCGTCTATGGCAAAAGTGATGCAGTACAGTATGGATGGACGCACAGACGTACGGTATCGACCTGTGAGGCTGTGCCTAGGGCTGGTTGGATTATCTGTACTGTACAGTACAGTACTGGTTAGTGTACTGTAGAAGTTCATACTGTAGCGTACTGTACTGTACACAGTGTACAGTACAGTACTGTACTGTACTGTACAGTATGTATAAGAAAAACCTTACAGTACAGTACAGTACATGTACACTTATTGTACTGTAGCGACTTCTACATTACCACAGCAACGCTGCCGGATTCCTTTATTTCCTGCTGTTGATTCCCAACATTTGATCATGGACTTTCCAGCACTATCACAGCATGTACCTCAATTGAAATACACGAACCCTTTCTCATGATTATATAGGGTATATAGTATACGTATTTTATTGATTTATCGGCAAAAACATATCAATAGAAGCATAATGATTCAAGGCAGAATTTACATCTGGTTTATTTTACTGTGGATCATTCATTTGGCATTACCAATCCAATTTCAATATCCTTATTATTATTACAAGAAGAGAAGTTATCATGTAAGTTTTAAATTTTTAAATCTCTAGGACAAATCAATTTAGAAGTAGCAGTAAAATTTTTTATCTTATGTACGGATAAATATACATGTATATATGATGGTGGTTAAACGTGTCAGTAACTTAACTAACGAAACCTACATGAATTGAATGCATTCGATCCATTTCTAACAGTATCTGTACTTTGCGTTCATTTCATTTAGGAACGCCGTTTTTATGAGAAGCAAGAGCTCTGTGCACACTTACCTAACTGTACGGCTTTAGGTGGAATCCTTCAAGACAGATGTATAAGGCAATGCATATCTCCCAGTTGCTATGGCAGTTTATATGCATGGGATGAGGTACGTAAATTGAGTCTACTAAAGTAACGGTTATAAGAATGATGTTAAAAAACTCAACCTTCTACAAATATACCACTACAAAAAGTTATCCTTACCCTGTGCAGCTTCAGAAATATCACTAATGCTAAAATGACCTACTTTAACGTCTATAATCTCGCTGCAAATCCCTTGATGCCTGATCATAGTAAAATCGTTGCTTATTGTATTCCTTAACTATATTGTGTTTCAATTTCATGTACAGTAGATAGTAGTATGCATAATTAAGAGAGAAGAGCTAAATGTCTTGGTATTAAGCTATATACATATTTTATGACGCTATATAAAACAACTTTCTTTTAAATTTTTTTCTCCTAGCTCGAAGAAGGAGAAATTGATATCAGACTGTCATCATTCAAAGGTTGCTTTGTTCAGGAAGCAAATTAAGGTACTAGCGATACCAAGAAATACGCAGATTTAAACATTTATTTCTCTATACTATACTATAATGTAACCTACAGTACATTATGTAGTATTTTAAATAATCCTTTGATTAGTATTATTAAGTAAGTACAGTATAGCAGTAGTCATTCAATGTACTATCACTATCATCATTTTACAATAAAACAGCGTGACATATTTACATGCTATGCCTGTCTGAACTAAGACTTAAAGTTTCTCCTCTTATTTACAGTTAATATACTCATATTATAATAGGTTGGTGTATGGTAAAATCCAAAAACATATAAAACGTTTTTCATTTCGAGCTCCGAAACAAGTGTCTATTCCATTCCTAATTACCTGACTCGATTGTTTACAAGATAGGGATGCTTATTGGACTATTCTGGAGTATTAATACAATTTACTCATATGATAGTACAGTAGTAGTAAAATGTCAATCATTAAATTAATATTATTTAATTACTGTATTATCGGATATCATATCAGTATTGCAAAGATGTAAATTAAAGGGATAAATTTAACGCACTGGACATAGAACCAGTAACACATTAGGACTTAAAAATGTTGAATTTCTTGATTACAATTATTAATGCCTTCGCTAAGTATGATTACGTTAATTTACGTAGTTTCCTGTACTGTAGATATGTATGTACAATGTATATAGTCCAGTTTTAAACCGGTCAAAACTCTCATCCATTAAGCAATAAATTTAAATTGAACTAAAATTGTATATTTATATTATTGTATACAACACGGAAGGGTATATGATTGGTAATCGATTTATAATATTGTCCATTCATTACACCAGCTACCTATCTTTATCACCTTACGGTAAAACAAGAAAATTTAAGCTCACTTTTCTGTAAAACTTCCTCTACGCAAACTGGAAGGTATACTGCATATAAGTCTTGTAACACTCTCATAATATTAATACCTAATGATACGCACTGCTCTTCCCATTTGCTATACTATCGAGATTACAATATACATATTAAAATAAATTATGTTTGCCTGCTATCAGGAAGACAATAAATTATTATTTATAATATATCTGGCATGCTATACTGTAAGTGTATCTTAACCTGTAACAGAGACATACTTTACATTATTAATTAAAGATTCTATCCGAGTATTCGGTCATAAAAATCTTTAATACGAAGAAAATAGCCCACAAAAGCAAATTTTTGATACAAAGGCCAAATTTTGATTAAGAAAGTATAGAAATCAAAAGTAGTAATTAAGTACTGTACATCTAGCGTTATACAGAAATGTAATTAATTACAATATATCATGTATCGATAAACAATAAGTCGCTTTAACTAGATACTAAGCCATACCACTTTTCGACTATAGCTATCAAAACCTCACAAACTAACCAGTCGATTATAATAACATCAATAATTAATATAATTAATTAATATATTGTAATGAGTGCGGTAGTATTCTCCACCTTTGAAAAAGAAAAGATTATGCTTCTACTTCGTTTATTGAATAAAATTTGTATTTTATTCTTGCACCGAAAAATTACACTAACAATTTTAGGGTTGAAATTATCAGTGCATTCCAAGCTATTCAAGGGTTTCAATCCTCACCCTATACTACATAGTTCGCACTTGAGGTTCAACGTTGTTAAAAAATTGACTGAATACATTGCTTATAATTTGAATAAGTCTTCAAGTTATGAACAATTCTAAAGATGAAGATTGCTCATCTTAAGATTGCACGAGCAACTAGTACATTTTACAGTACATAAATTTATTATTAGAGAAATACTCTACTTTATCTTAGCCCTTTTACTTAGTCCACTTTCATTAGCAACAACTTTTCCACTGACAATTTTCTTTTTTGCTTGAGGTTGCTTTCTAGATTGAACTTGTTCATGCCGTGTAACAGTTGAGACGCCATCTACAAATTTTGTTTTAAACAAGACGTTCGCGTTATTAAACATTCCATCTTTCAAAGAAACAACTATAAATTGTGAGTGCTTGAAATGTGTGCGTAACATTTGTCCTATATTTTGGGTATGAGAAAGATCTAATGCAGCATCAACTTCATCCAATATATAAATAGGTGCAGGCTTAAATAGCAGTAGAGATAATATCAATGATAGCGCCACCAGTGATCTATGCAAAGCCAATTTATAGGTCATATTTTAGTGACAGCTCTAATGCACGTTTCTATATACAGTACAGTATATCTAATTCATAAAATAATACCTTTGACCTCCACTAAGCTCCGACAAGCTTTCTTTCCAAACTTGACCAAATCCTACTTTGACTTCGAGTCCATCAAATATAGTCTGATTCTCTGGCGCTGAAAGTTTTGCCGTTGCTCCCGGTAGGAGAGTCGAAAAAATCGATGAAAAATCCTAATATATCAATTAAATAATTCACGATTACCATCAAAATTCATCACTATCAGATTATTCCAACGACACAATAATACCGCACCTTCGTTACTTGCGCAAAGGCTACAGACAAATGTTCCTTCTTCTTTTTGTCAAGTTCAAGTATGGTAGATTCAATTTTTTTCTTATCATTTTCCACAATTTTCTTTTTCTTCATCAGGTCATTATACTTTTATATAAATTGATTTTGAGTAGTTAAAATGTAAAAGTACTTGATTAGATATCACATATCGCGAACGAGTAGCAGATGAAGTAATCTCTTACTTTTTCTTCGACTTTTCCCAACATGTTCATAGCTCTCATATTAACAGTTTTCGATAATTTTTCTTTAGTTTCTTCGAGTTTTAGCAATCTTTTCGATGCTTCTTTCGGGTTATTGGCTTTGAAGTCATAAGCTGTATTCGGCTGACCGAAGAATTGCTTTTCGGTGGCAATCCAGTCATTTTCTGCAATCATACTTGCCACCTATTAAATACGGTAATATTCACAAATTAAGTCGAAAATTCACCTACATCAATCAATGTAGTACAGTATCGAAATATTACATAAAAAGTCTGCTAGTTACTACGTACCTTCTGTGCAGCATCTTTACTATCCTTACTCAACTTTGAGAGCTGATGCATTTGATCTTTCATTTCTAAGCAAGAATCTGCCTTAGCCTTAGCAAGGCTTTGCCGTTCGCTGACATGCTTCGAGATTTCCTAATTACAGATGAGCTAGGGTTTAATTAAAATAATTACTAAAAAAAATAAGCAGATATCTATACCTTGTTGCATGCTCTCAAAGAAGTACGTTGGCTTTCAAGTTCTCCTTTAGCATTCTCATAATCAGCCTAAAGAAATAGTGAACCGCAAGGTATTACTCTTATTGCTTTCTGCAACAAATTGAATATCTATATGCCTATACGGGTAGTACCTTTGCTTTTGCTAAGGTTTCATCTAATGATTTGACTTTGTCTTCCATAGTAGCGGCATTCTTAGACGCATTCAGAATCTAAGATCCAGTATCATATTAAATAGACTAGTTTATTGGCAGAATACCGAAATAGCAATTCTATGCTACAGTATATACCTGTTCATCTAAGTTAGCAATTTCTTGCGTAATCGCCGCCGCTTCGAGCTTTAAAGCTTCTATCTCCTATTTCGGTAGTTAATATAAAGACGTCACTCCTCCGTGCCATATATTCATCGTAATGACTTTAGAGTAACTTAATATACGAATTAATACCTGAAATTTAAGCTTTGTTTGTTTAGTAGATTCTTCTGATTTTGCTTTGGCGGCAGTTAATTTCTTTTCAGCAGATTTTAACTCTTTTTCACGAAGTGATTTAGCGTCCTTGCCATTACAAGTATTAAAATAAACATCAATTATATTATATTATGATTTGGTTTTTGGGCACTGAGTAGTTGCTTAAAATTCTTTTACCTTCATTTTCTTTTCAATTGTGGTACATTTATTAGATGCATTTTTTATCGTTTCTTTTGCAGCTTTCATCTTATCTTTTTGTTCATCTATAGTGGAGAAAGGAATTTAAAAGATACCGTTTAAATACAGACTAACTATTTTACTGATTAATTATTATCATTGATTGTATACCAATGGCCTTTTGGAGGCTGGTAATCTCTTCTAAGAGCTGGTAGTGTGAACTTTGCTCCAAACTATTTTGGAGCAGGCTGGCCTCTTTTTCTGCGAGTCCAAGTTGACGAGAAACCTTTTTGTGCCTAGACGGCGTGTAAATAAAACAATGTAATTAAATAGCAAGATGTTGAAAGCGACGAAGTTAAGACAACTTACTCTTCCGCGATCTTTTCAATTGATGCTAATTGAGAAGCTACTTTCGTCAATTCATTAGATTTTTGTTGTAATTCCTGCTTTAAATCATTTATTTCGCTAAGCTTAGCTAAAATAGAGGAAGATGGCGGAGGTCTCGAACCTACGTTAAATGACACCTAATTTAGTAGCTAGTCTTTATTGCGAAACAACAAAATTATCGCAAAGTATTGGTAGTTACCTCCGGTTAATGTTCCTGAAGGGTTTAAGATATCCCCTTCTAAGGTTACTGTTCGCTTCTTAACATCTTCATTAAAAGTAACCTTAACAGTAAAGGTATGAAGTTAGTTAATCATACTGCTGCAAAATAACCGAAAAGGGTATTGAAATACACATATGTCCTAATTACAACTTACGATTTTAGCGTTGTCGATGTTATTACACACTAGTGTAGACCCAAAGATGAAGGACATAGCAGCTTCCAGTTCATTATCGTATCCGACCAATGAAAGGGCAGTATGGACATTTTCCTTACCAACCTTAATTCAATAATTATAAAATTATCATCATTACTTACATGATAAATAAATTTATATAAAGCCGATTTCTTCTCATATAATCAGACTTTACAATAAAGACTTACCAAGCGCCTAGCTGCAGCTACAGTTTTTTCTGAAATACTAGATGAAGCAATCTGATTTAACGGGATGATGGTAAAACGCCGTTTTAATTGACCATTCTTCAATAGTTGTTTGCCAGTCTCTTCGGTATCTACGACTACACTGTATAACTAAAGAGTAGAGATTAT